CTCTAGATATCTGTAGATATAAAAGACTCAGTCTGAGGTAACGCTAATGAAAACATACCTATGAATATTATATTCCATTTCTGCCAGTAGATCCTCCTCAATGTTACACACTGGACCTTTAAACATTGATGGCAGCTTGTTCCATTGAGAATGAAATCCCACTGTTTGGAGGGTAAAAGTGACACGTTTGCGTAACATGTCTACATGGTCTGGGTCGTTGCTAGAAACAAGGAAGTGAATTTGGTGATGTATGGCTCAGCGTTTTGCAGAAAACTACAATCTTTGGTCAGATTTGCAGTGACGGGACAAAATTGCAAGGTTGCACAGAATTGGCAGGGATTGGTTGAATTAGCGTTAATTGTTGTGATCGCAGCTTCCTGAAGGGACTGGTTTATTCCTTCAGATAGCCCGCAGTTTGGGATTTCTTTTTCAAGGACTTTTTTCTCCCCCATATTTTGACAGTGGCGTCGTTCTGCATGTGCAACCAAATGTTCCACATTGTTCAAAAATGGTGTGTTTCGGTGTAAATGTCTCAAAGGAAAATATGGCAGTTTTTTTTCCCAATGGGGGAATATTTTTTGTAAAGGGGGGTTTCTTACTTTCTGTCACCAAATGTAAATAATTTTGTAAGATAAATTGCAAAAAGAAACTATAATTACTGACCTGTGAAATGTACAGTATTTTGTGTCATGGAGACTTTTTTATAGTTTTTGTAATAAAAAAAACAGATTTTGGATTACAAAGAAGCATTTTGTGAAGCTTTGGGTACAGTGATGGCATGCTGTTGAGCTGTTACCGGTCTGATACTGTTGAGCTGTTCTGTTGTCTCGTTACTTTGTTGTTACACATAACAAGGTATGTATAGAGATGTATTAAAAGTGCAGATACTTTATAATTCTAAATAGTCCTGTTTCCTCGTCAGTAATTTGCAGTAATGTGTGAACCTTAACGGGGAAAAAATAAACCCAAATCACAAAATGTCAGCTTTTGTTGTCAATAGGGTGACAGAGAGAGGGCTTGTTAGTCAAGCTGCACCTGTGGACCAAGTCTAAAGAGTTACACAAGAGCAGCATGTTAATGACACTACATTATTAGTCGCTGTTAGTGATGTGAAACAACATATCCAAATTTAAGAAATGTAACACATTGAAATAGCACATTTAAGGAAAAGTGACAAGGCGCCTTTCAAAGTTGATCAGTTTATTCTGATGCTGATAATTTAGACAATGGTCCTTTCAAAATTATTCTAATGGTTACAGATAAAGACGTTACAATGACTGAGGCTGGCCTACCAAAAGAATGAGAGAAAGGTGTAGGGATGGGACAATATACATTATGGCGATAAAAACATTCAGATAAATGTATCTTGGTGAATTCCCAGAATTGTGATCTTCACATGGTTTGACTTGAAAAAGCTGTCTAGCTCACCAGCATACAGTCTTATATTTGTTTCCTGCTTTATTGTCACCATGGCTGCAGGATCTGCCTGTTGTATCCCCCACAAAAAATAAGTTAGGACGTGTGGAAATCGTATAGATTCCAAAATAAAGAACAGGAAGCTGAGGTACAGATCTGATGCAATGTGTGTTTAACAAAGTGTAAACTGATTCCAGTATGTTTCAGTTCATTTTAAAAGTATATGCATGTACATTTTCATGATTATCGTGATAATATCGTGTATTTCATGACATGCAATCGTCCCATGCCTAGAAAGGCATTTACACCATAAAGGCTTTTGGGAAGCCCACCTCAGTACAAAGTAACATCTCAAACCTTTGTTCAGGTCCTAGTACTGCCCCTTGCTTTATTCACACTCACAAACAAGAAAAGACAACTGAGGAGTCAAGTTTGAGATTATTAGAGCTTTAAACAAAAGTCTGGAATGATAACATCAATTCAGATTCAGTACTTCTCAATGTGTGGATGGATTTTATGTCATAGCTCACCCAGAAAAAAGTCTTGGTTTATCAACACATCACAACTTCTTATTTCACCTGCTTCTCTTCCAGTTAAGATGGATGGCTGTGAGGACACATGAAAGTCTATGCCTGTGATCTGGTGAGTGTTTTTATTATCGACTGAACTGACTGAGGTGACAAAGGAACATATGATGACAAACTGAAATATTACTGTAAAGACTGTCCTGGGCCAGACAAAGTGTGCATCTGTTAAAAACTGGTGGATATTGTCCAGATACAAAGTTCAGTTCAGTTGGACTCCTGTCTCTTTTCGACACCTTAAGATGGAGGGGGGGGGGGGGTCGGGTGGGTTAATACGAGGACAGGCTTGTGGGAAAAGGGTGGCAGGGTGCCTCAACCAGTCTGTTGTACCTGAAGTCATCCATCGCCCAGGCAACAAAACAAATCCCACTTTGTCGCAGATACATTATAATTTCTAGGGGGCTTTGGCCACGCCTACCAACGCCGGCCTGAGAGTGCGGCCGTGGAGCTTGTAGCCCACCTTGGTTACTATGGCAACGCTGCCGGGCTCCTTGCCCTCTACGGGGGCGTGGAAGAGGGCCTCGTGCTCGTAGGGGTCGAACTTCTGGCCCTCGGGGTTGAGCTTCACCAGGCCGTGCTTAGTGAACACCTTCTGGATCTGGACCTCGGTCATCACCAGGCCGTCGTACAGGTTCTTCAGGTGAGGGTTCTGGCTCGTCACCTCCTCCTTGGGCACGCTCTCTGTGGCCTTCTCCAAGATGTCGGCCACCTCCAGCAGGTCCTTACAGAATCCCTGGATCCCTGTGACAGAAGGAAGTTAGAGTATTACTCACCTTACTTTAAATCTCTGACTTTGCATCATAAATGTTATGAGTGGCAATTACAATGTTATGGCACATTTCATTCCCCACAGTGTTCTTGAGTCAGCTGTGATAACAGACATTGCCTTTAGGTGACCAGACTATCTGTTTTAGGGTTTAGGAATAAGGATGCAGGTAAGATGCCAAGTAACTCCAGCAAAAAAGAATGAAGCACAGTTTTTTCCGGAGCCGATGATAGAAGTAGCTGAAGAACGAGAGATTTGGCTTCCTTCTCATCTCTGTTGAGAGCTGCACATGCTCATTACCATTCGGGCACCCCCAAGAAAATGTGTAAAGCCAAAGTTTATGAGCTGAAGGGCAAGCAGGCATTTTCAGTTATCCTGGAAGAGAGTTTATTTTTTACTTTTGTATAAATTTGTTTTTTGAAATGCCAAAATGTAGCCTGGCAGTGGCACTAACAGAGTAAAGTCAATGAATTAACTAATGTAATGCCGGTGAACACAAGTAGTTTGCTAACATTAGCCACCATGAACTACTGGTCATACCAGACCATGTAGGGCTTAGGCAGGTTTAGCACCCACCTATATACCTACCTATTAAAGTGCTCAATATAGTACTGCTTTTCAAAAGGAAAATATACACAGAAACATGCTGAACAAAACACAAAAAGCTTCTGAAGCCGTCGTCAGAATCAGATTTATGTGACATTTACATTACATTCTCTATTTGATTGAAAATTACCCCCCCCCACTATCAGAAAGCTGGAAAAACTGAAAACTACAAGTTACACTTCAAAGCAAATAACAAGACTGTACCAGAATGTCATGTATTCATATTCAAATTGGAAAAAGGTCTCATTTGCTTTTATAAAAATCAAGAGCAAATACAAGTTTAAGTTAACTAAACCAACAGCTGCACCACTGCATAAAGACACACAGTTTAGTCAAAATGCTGAAGTTGCCCTTTTGTGACATCTAGTGATTGGAACATACAACTGCAGAATATTTGACCGAGACCTCAGCGAGGAGGTTCTGCAGGATCTACCCGTGGTAAGGCCAGTATTAGGTAGTGGATCCTGGTCAAACGTGAAAAACGGGTCATTACCGTATAATTTAGCGTCTTCTATCATCTTCTGACTCCTCGTCCTGAGGTTCTCTGTATCTGCTAAGGCCCGCTTATACTTTTCCTGGAAAGATAGAAACAGAAAAAATAAATACAAATCAATGTCATCAACATTATATAATGAAGCTCTGGGCTACAAACTGTAATTGGTTAGCATTTCTGTGGAGTACTATAGTATAGGTTGGTGTAATGACAAAAATGCCCCACAATGTTAAAGCCCCTAAAGTCCAAGAGTCACTTAACAAACAGGTTAAGGGGAAATATGTTTGGCTAATTCTTTGGCCTACTGTTAATATCAGAATAATGCAGTGAGAGACTTACTGTCATGTCCTTGAGCTGCTCCTCCAGCTGGGTCTTCTCCTCCAACAGGGCTTTCTCTGCTGCGTTCTGCTCCGGCTTCTCGGCCTCCTCCTCTGAGCTGCCGTTCTTCTGCTGGGTGGCAGTACATAACAATCTGGGAGACGCTCTGGGTGGAAAGGATACATATAATCAAAAAAATCATTCATTCAGTGTTGGCTGCTGCTCACTTTCCCTGACTTAATTATGTTCCGGATCAATATTCAGCCCTCAGTAGCCTTCAGTGTAGGTGCTCTCTATCTAATAATGTCAAACATTTCTCTGCTGTGTGTGAACTATTCCTCAGTCAGCTCACCTTAACACTGACATTATCCACCTGTGAGACAACAAACAGCCTGTCTAAGCCTGAACACTCACTTGCACACAGATGTATGTAGCCAAATGAATGCAGAAATGTGTTAAGGTACATTTCCTAGAGACAATTAATTGATGAGTCAAGTTACTAATAAAGATACCGTAATTTTGATAGCTAATTAACCGTTTGGTCATTTTTTAAACTGAGTTAAAGTTCACTGGTTCCAGCCTCTCAGATGTGAATACTCTTTGATTTTCTGTCTTCCATGATAGTACATTTCAGT